ATCAAAGTATTTCCCTCAACGTTCGTGTCGTCGAGCGGAGGCTGTTCCTCGTTGTCATTACCTGGTTCTCCTACGAAAGCCTTGGAGTTTTTCTCCTTCCTGTAGATACACGAGGAATTCTGTTGGCTGGCGCTTTCTGTGTAGACTTCCCGGAAGAACCCGGTAATGAGCCTCAATGACTTATGCCGCAAGCTCATGGGCCCGATTTTTTACAGGGACCGCAGTTTGTTGTGCCCTTATCCCACGACGGCTAATGGGGAGTGTGTGCATAGTTACACCCACGCACTACTCAGACAGTCGCGGTATATAGGCCTGCAAGAAGTTCTTTGCCTTCTCAGGCCCCGGTATGCCACACTTCCCTCGAAAATGCACGAGCCGATCTGTTCGGCCATGGAACAACGACAGGGAATCCTTGTACTCAGGCCAACAATTGTTCCTCTGACTCATGTGTCGTCAAAGTCCTCATGTCTGTATTCTAGCGGTCATTGTATGCTTTGTTCGACAGAGATCCCTCGATATCGTTCCGGAGATTCACCCTTTGAAACCCAGTGATGGTTTCGTGTTGCAGCAAGATCCTCTTGCGAACGGATACTCGGCGGACGACCCCGCTAGGCCGGTTGAGACTCACCATCGGCACTCGATGGGTATCTGGCAGCTACAAGTCCTCATCCCTCCGCGTGGAACCTTCCTTCATAGCTCCGCTCGAGTTCTTTCCGTATGAGCGTCAGAAACGACGTTCCTGATCGTTCATGATGGAACTCCCGAACTAATGAGTTTTTCTAGAAATTATCGCCGTGCGTTGATCCTATTCCTTAGCCTATACGACGGGGAACTCAGTCCACGGGGAAATTCCCACTCGAAAGAACATGTATGTCCTTGATGCAATTGATCTGCGGACATAACGTGACCCGATCAAACCCTCCGCTATCTGGCCCCAAGCTCGAGCGACCGACCACCCGTCTCCTGTGTGAACTCCTAAGAAATTGCTCTGCAGCTCGTGGTGAGTCATTCAGTCTTGTTGCATGTGGCCGACTTTAAGCCGACCGACTGATATATTATGCCTTTAGCACTATCTGCGAGTTGTAGCTGTGCTCGAGATAAGCTCAGACTTTCTCCGGTTGCTGTCTCCTGCCTGCCTGCGTGCGCGACTGACTGACTGACTGACTGGCTGGTTGGCTGAATGACTGACTGACCAGCTCATCGGTCGCTTCGATAGCAGGCTATTTAGCTCGCGCAAATCGCAGGAGAGCTCTGGACGACGAGACCCTTTAACACCCCTCGTTGCGAGAGGGACAGTTAAGGACGAACGACAACATTTAGCGAGAATCGAACGAAATCAAACTGCCATTCGCAATGCTAGTCGAGACTGCAGACAGCGAGTAAGCGGGCGGGCGAGCGAGCGAGTAGCCCGTTTGCATGTACACTTCCAAGTTTAATCGTCCGTAGCCACCATCTTGCTGGCTTGACCAGGGGTCAGTTCGGGCAAGCAGTCATTTACGAGCTTAAATCACCGTTCAGAGAAGTAAACGGACTGCGTTGAACCAATGAGCACCCTCGTGAGGAACTCTTCCACAGCTCAGAGAGTCATGATCAGAAGAGGTACTCTACGTACCGACCAGACTGTGAGGGGAAATTTTTCCGAGCCGCTCCCGAACGCCACCTCAGTTCCGAAGCCTTGTCGGCTAATCCCTCGTCTTCCATCATCCCTTGTCGAATATTCTGCGAGGACTCGACTCCGGAGTGCTCTTCGTTCTGCGCGACGGGCTCTCTTCTTCCCTGTCCTGCGGTGCGGTCCCCCTCGTCGGGTCTGCGTCCCTTGGCGAAAGAGACGAATCTAATTCCATTAGCGGGTTGAGATGCCTTGTCAAGCGATACGAGAGAGCTCGTCGGCGTCTTCGCCGCCACCGCCGCCGCCGCCCATAACACTGTCGAGCAGCGGATCAAGAGCGTATGGAACAGGTCAGCCGTATGAGTATTGTATCTGCCTCAACAGCCTTTATGGACGTACGACATTTATGGTAGCACAAGATGGAGAAGAGGGCAGGCGGACTACTGGCTATAAACACGCCACACCGAACCAACTTTACGGGTGCAGCAACTCACGCGAGCCGGACCAGCACTTGAGAGCTCCTCGCCGAGAGAGCCTCCCATCGAGCGACTAGTCCTTCAGATAATTCCGATAGTCATACGATTGATGGAGCAACGATAGACGAATATTTCTCTTCGATGTTAAGTCCCCTATCGTTCTGTTGGTGCGATGTGATGACCTGCGAAAGAGAGCTCCTCGCGAACCTTGTCTCGCGATTCCTCGTTACCGCGCCGCATCGCGACCGATCTCTGGTCCAGGAGGAATTTTCTGACCAGTGAGTCGAATTCTTTGGCGCACGCTCGGCGGGAACCATCGATTCGAACGGAGTGATCGCGTGGATGCTGCCTTTCGATATTCTTCGCCCAGTTCGGGACTCGGGTCGAAAGTGGGCGAGAAAAAGCTCGCTCGTTCAAATGAGTCCATTCGTGAGCCGGCGTTTACATCAGGTAGACGGTATCTTGGTCTCCTAGGTGTATCTCACTCGCTTTTTTTCTCCACTCAACAACTTTATCACTGGGTGCGGCCAATTGAGATAAGCGCCGCGCGTCTGCACTGAAACACGCTCATTGATTTGAGTGAGACATCGCTGATAAGAGCTAACTGGCCCGGTGATTCTGTGAATGAAAAACGCCACCATGGAACAGGCTTAGAGAAGCCGCGGCCGAAGCAGCAGCGGCGACGACCGCACGAGTCCATAGCAATCCCGACAGCAGTGTAGATAAACTGCTCACGATACGGCCACACGAAGAAAAATTGAGTTCGCACAACAGCTCGGAGTCTGAACAAATTGATCAAGGAACAAAAACAAGCGATGTGGGGCGGAAGTCTAGCGTTCAGGATCGATGAAAGCAAGCAGGAATAATTCGATCAACTCATGAAATTCCGGAATCTATCGAGAGAACTTAAGGCGGATTCGAAGGGCGGCGCATTCCCGATATTGAACGCCGCATGAAGCGACTTCTCGGAAACAGCCTCGGCAAATGTTTGACCGGTCTCGTGATCCCCTTCTCTCGACTTGCCGCAGAAGTTTACACAGGCTGTTATCATAACAATAGTAATCACTGTTCGAGCAGAAAATAAACTCCCCGAATTCGAGGCGCAGGTAGAGGCTCGCTTGTCGTTGTCGATGATCATGCGGCTGTTGATGTTTCAGACGTACGGTTGTAAAATTCACAGCTTCCCAGCTTCTTAACCGTTTATGTGAGGTCGTATAGTTGGTACGAGAGCGTCGGATAGCCGCCGCGGGCAAGTGGAGTCAGAAGAGCGGCGTTTAGAAACAAGCCATGTCTGAGAATTTATCGATGTTGTAGCAAACGACTGCGTCTGCTTCGAGCCGGCTCTGGCTGCTACTGATACTTCTAAAGCATCGTTAGCGAATAGATGATTGAAGGATTCCACTAGGATTTCCCTCGCGGATTCCCGAAGGAACTCGGGTGTGCCCTCGAGGTTGCCGTGCTCCCCGGGATTCGAGCGGACGCCACATGAGGAACAATACAATAATCTCTGGAAGTCCAACCTTCACCCTCGCTTCGCAATCCTCTCTGCGGACGAAGTCGCGGTAACTCGAATCAGAACTCTGAGCCCTGTTTCCCTTGACACAACTGCTAACGTTTTTATACGGAACAGGAATGACCATCGGAGGGATCCTGCTGGAGCTCATTGGCCATGGCGCCGGATCGATATAGAAAAGCACGTGTTTGATTTGAGAACTCGACGATACTTCTTTATTTTGTTTACCCTAAATGCATCGCGACATAAAAGCTTGATGTTGTGAGGAGTAACTCCCCAAAGCCGACTCGTTCCGTCGCTACCAGCACTAATTTAATGCTCGCTGGCGTGAATGTTGGTCTTCCCTCGAATAACTCGTTTCCGAACTCAAAAACGTCACAATATAAAATGCCCATATCTAATAGCTGCCGGAAGATGTCACTCGCTCGATGGCGTAACCTCTCGAATATCAAGGGAACTATGATACAGTCGGAAGATGAAGTTGTCTAGCGATAAAACGACAAACGTGAGAGCGACGATCCGGAGACGGAAACCGATGTCGGAAACTTTTCGAGAGGCTACGTTCAATTCTCGATCCATCCCTACTCTTGAATGTCCAGCCTCCGACAATTGAACAATATCGATGTTGTTGATGGACTAAGAAGCATGAACAAATAGAGGTCAATTATTACAATATTTATACATTCTAGGTGAAATATGAATTTCATGTGGGTCGATTCTTCCGGTGAGTAAGTGACGTCAGCTGCAGAAATCGCTACTTTAACGCTCATCCAGTTGTGCGTCGACAGGGAGTTAATTGTTCAAAACTCGAGATCGGGGTTTAACAGCTGCTGAAATCTGACGCCTGTTTATGGGCTCGGCGTTGAAGGTCCGCATGCCTAGCGGGGCTTGTCGACTAAACATTGGAGACTGTCGCTCATTACTGAATCACAGAATGGGCGCATCGATGGAAGAGTAGGTTGCTCGACTGATTGATTCTATGGATGGCGACGTGGCTTTTCTGCAGCTGTTTATGGCGATGCTCATGATCTTGATGGAGTTGTCCGTATGAAATCATGTGTGTTGTTTATTTACAATAAATACAAGTCGAGAACGCTCTCAGTGGTCTGGAGGCGTTCCCATCCCTAACAGGCTCTGACTCGCCGAGTGGTTCGCACTCAGTCTATTTGAGACTTCATTTGCAACATGCTCAGAATAATCCGTCAGGACTCGTCGCTCGTTTGTGAGACATCCTCTGATGCACGGGATGGATTGCGCTAGGAACTCGAGTTTGGGTTTTATTGCAGCAGGTGTTCCTTCGTCTCCGTGATTTTCGGTATGGTTTTCTTTCTCTCGCGGTCTGAGCACGCAGACGAAGTAATTTGACTAGATGGTGTAGTTAGTAGAAGACTTTTCGTCGCGATCAGCGCTCGCCGGCCGAAGGAGGTCGTCCGTACGGGTTATACCGTCCCGACAGATGCGATAACAACAGATTACGCATCGCGAGTTGCGGGTCCAGCTGTGCAGGTGTAGTCAAATGAGATTGTGCGAGTAGGAGCATGTCGTGGAATTGGCGGTACTGCGCCAGCTGCTGTTGGAGCAGGTAGTCGGCGGCTATCGGAGGCACGGGTGGTGACGAAGGCGAGCACGGAGAGGACGGCAGGCCGAGACCGACTCCAGGACTTCCGGCGCTCAACGCCATCGAATCTTCGGGTTCGGAGTCGTCATCCGTGCCGCTCAACCGGGTCGGTACCGGCCCGCCCGCCTGGAGCGCCTGCAGAACTCCTGATTTTGACGCAGGCGGAAGTGCGTATTTTCGTTTATCCTTACGAGCAGCTCCGGTTTCCCGAAAACCCTTCGCGAAGGGATTGTTGTCGATCTTCAATTGGGTGATCTGAAATAAGAGATCGTCTCGGATGAATGTCAGCGCTCGAAATTCGGAGAGACGATGCACTTTCGCAGAACCAAGTGGGTGTTCGGTTGCACCGAAAGCAATTTTCGTTGCATCATATGACCGGGCGAAAAACATCGGAGGATTCGGACAGAAATAAAAATCAATGAGGAGAGGAGACACAGAGAAGGAAATCAGTGCGGCCTACATGAATTAAAAATCGAGAAAAAGTTCGCCGGAATCATTCAATATGGCGCCATTTGAGTGATGAGTATTCGTCTTTGTGTCTCGTGCGGACATGCAATCGGGAGAGGTGATTTATTTCTCCCATTCGAGGGATGCGGCATGGGGCCTTTACCTTTTCGTTCTGGTAGGCGGTGACGGCGATGAATTCCGTTTCAGGGAAAACGAATGTTTTGAAGTTGGAGTAGGGAACTTTGGCGAGATCACAAGTTTTCACCAGATGGAAGCGCGGTTGGTACTTGTGCATCGAGTTCAAGATGGTTTGCTGCAAGGAAAAAGAAGGGACATTCTTAGAAACCGTTTCCACATTTCCCCAAGCGGATTTCATTTTCACGCTCTCAGCGCTTCCTTCGCGACAATTCTCCTAGAGATATCCCTGTAGGCGTCAAATTGGGCATATTGACACGCGAATTCAATCGGTGCCGTGCTATGCGGGAAAAGAGTCCATCGAGATCCGGTCCAAAAAAACGGTCGAATCTATCAGTAGGATATTTTCTGATCCGGAGGCGGTTCCCGGAATCATGTGTTTCCCCGATCCTGGCGACTTGTTCGGAGAAAGTGAACGCCTCCAGCCTCGAGCCCACCGGAGCTATACGATCATCGAGCGGTCCCTTCAGGGGCACGAATCAGTTTGTCGGACGAAGAAACCAACAGCTCGAAAAGATAGACAAACGCTACCGAGAGATAGATGCTTCGGTCCTTCGGTTGAGGAGATCCAGGGGTCGCAAGCTCAGCCCCACGGGGTCGCTATGGGACCGACGATGGCAGCGGCGCCGCTAGCGGCGGCAGGCCCTGTCTCCATGGAGACATAATGAACGACAATTCCGACAGACAAGATGGCACAGGGGACCAACGACAATGGACCAGCTTTATCCAGGGCCACTCCGGGGAGCGAAAGAGGCTCTCCTCCACCGCCTCGAAAGCGGGAGGAAAAAAGCACTCGCTTGATTTGCAATGCCCGCCACCCTGCTGCCGCCTCCTCGGACGCTGTTTGGTTGTTCTGCATCAGCCGCTAATCCTCCCGCGCACTCTGTGGAATCTCTCTGGAGAGCAGCTTTGGAGAAACTCGAGAAGACAAAAGCAAAACTCAAAGCCTGCTACTTACGAATCCGTGCTTGTCGGTGATATTGTTGGTGAGCTTGAGTTTGTGAAAGGAGACCACTTTCTGCATCCATTGCTCTCCGGTCGCCGGCGAATCAGGATGGATATACATTCGTTTGGGCATCTCGGGATCTGCTTTGCCTGCGACGACCCATCGTCGGTTTTGGAATTTGTAGCGGCAGTCGTCGGCAGCAACGACATCCATCAGCATGACGTACTTCGCCTTCGGCTCGAGACCCGTCATACGGACTTTGAACGGAGGGAACATTCGCCTAAAATCGAGGGGAGAACTCATTAGGGAAAATACGTAGTGCATCGATTTTCTTTCACTCCGTCATCACAGATCACCTAAAAGCTCGACCGCGCGTCCTAATGATTTCTCCGCGGCGCTCAGGGAGTTTCGATTTTCGTGCCCCGATGAATTCGAAGTGACGCGGTGCACTAAATCCAGAGATCAAACATTTTTCACCAATCGATACCTCGTTTCTAAACAGAGAAACGTGTCTCCACCACAAATCGGAGCATGGTCGGAACATTTTTCTTAGAGGCGGGGGGATGGGGGGAATTGTTGCCAATGACGTGATCATCGCCAGCAGACTGAAACAGCGAACAGCCGAGGGGGAGGAAACGACAGGATCCGAGGAACACACAGGGAAGTCGCGGAGAGAACGATACAAGGAACCGATCGTCCGGAGCAGTTGCCGGGTGTCGAATCCAGCCGTGAAGCCAATACACATTCTGCTGGTGTCACCAAACCACTGGCCCGGTGGATGTCTACCGCGAATTACACCCCCAAACCCACACGGCTCCTTGTATTTTGTTGGTTGGTTGGCTGGTTGCTTCTTGCAAAGTCGAACTCGCAGCCGGAGCTTTATTACGAAGCTGTCGACCTAATGACGCGTAAAAGTCTCTTCCCATCGTTCGCCCATGTAGTGTGTGTGAAAGCCGGCGCGCGCGATCACAAGCATCGCGGACAAACACAATCACCGATCAAACTCGTTCGGCGGTACTTCGATCAGAATCGAATCGCGCGTTTTATTCACGTCTAGCCGAAGAGTTCTGGTCCGCTCTGCATTTCACAGCATCGACGGTGCCCGCACCGAAGCCCTAACGCCGCCGTCGTCTCGCGCACCAAGAGAATCGAAATGGTGATGTTATGTTCTGAAATGGACAAAGTTCGCGAGACGCAGTCCCTCGTGTGTTCAATGATCGGGTCGTTGAAAATCCATTCCGACCACACACATACACGAACGCGAGCACGCAAGGGACCCTCAGACAAACAGACCTAACGGATAGAACCAAGCGGTCGGAGCCAGACGCGTTGCCGTCTACCCGCATTCTCTGCGTTTTTATTTTTCTGCTCGCGGGTTGTCTCCGAAAATCGTCGCATACTACACCTCCGAAGACGCCAAGTCCGTCAAACGAGGTATCGGAGGTGACGCCGACTTGACGGCTTGTTAGCAGCGTCAACGAGAGAAGTGAAGATCAGGACGGGCGGCGGGCAGGGGCGGGGGGAGGGGATGACGGTCAAAAGTTTATGTGACGTTTGGGGCGAAAACAGACGTGAACGACGTACGTTCTCCGGCAAGACGTCTCAATTTGACAGCCAATTGTCCGTCGAACGAGGGGCCGTTAGGTTGTCCGTCCGTCCGTGGGTCCAACTATGTATCTGATGAAAAGCCACCCACTTAGTGGCAACCACGGCGACGACGATTCGCGCCGGAGGTGATCAGGCTGACCACGGTGCCTGCTGCTGAGGAATGCCTCAACCTGTTCTCGATCGGGATCGTATTCACATAAGCGAACGAACACGCTTTAGGCGAAAGATGTAATTTCCTCAGACGGAGCCACCAAGTCGCGTACTTGCTGGCTGGCTGGCTGGCCGCCCGGCCGACCTGCCGCCAAATCGAAGTCTATTTACTTAACTTCGACTCCATCCCCTGCCTCGTCGACGTGAGTCAACGTCTTGGTCTTCAACGTTTTTCTTCATCGGCTCCAGCCACCACGTCGACGAGCCATCTCCGTGTAAATTGTGTCTGATTGAGGGTTACGAGAAGCAGCAGCAGCAGCGGCTGCGGCGGCGCACCGGTAGCAATATCAAACCAGAAGGTTCTTAGCCTTTATTCTGGTTCGCTTCAGGTGGCTCTCGATAATCCCGAGTGGGGGCTCGTCGTGGGCAACATCTCGTTTCCGAGTCAGTATGTGCAGTGTCACACGGAGCGTGTGAATCGGAGAGCCGTCGACGATTTTCGTAGCGCATCTCTTCTATCGGAATAAAGCGCTCGACACATTCGGAAACCCAGTCGATAGCGAGTCCTGGAACACTCGACCGCCTCAAAGCCGCAAATGTCGTCGCGCCGCCCGGTAGCTGTTCCAGGCCAGTCGAAGAGTTGGAAGTAATCCATTGTTGTCGCTTTTCCTCTTTGGGTCTCCTTTGCTCGCCGGCCCGATGTCTGGATGATGTCGTTCTGGTTGACGCAGCCCGACATGGCGCCAGTCGGTCCTCGGACAAACAACGAAACTCCTTTATGCAATGTTAGTTCACAAACCAATTAGTCGAGACCATGTCGCGACAACTTATGCTCAGGCCCAACCGAGCCTGGGCTGCTCGTCAGTCGGCAGATCCCGCTCCGGGTTCCAAGCACCGATGCCGCAGAAAGTTGTCCCCTCTTCTCCGTATGTGAAAATCTCGTAAGAGACATCGACGAAGACGGTGTCGGCACGGGCTTCGTGCCGACCCCATGCTCCGACTGAGAGCTTGATGCGAAGCTGGCGTGACGCATCCGTTTATCATCCAGTGTCGAATGAACGAGTATTTGAGCATCGACCGAGCGTTGGAACGATTTGCGTGCGTGGGGACACGATAGATGGCAATAATTAATTCAATCAAGCTCTGGTGTAGCCTTCGCGACAGAGTGATAATTTCCGATGAGTGACGGGGTCAAGCGAGCGAGCGAGCAAACAAGAAAAAAAAGAAACCCAATACAGACGAAGGAACCTTATATCAAACGGTGGTCGCTTCTTGTGTTTCGCGCGTCTGCCGACTTATCAGCTTTCGGCAGCGCTTCATCCGAATCTTCTCCGATATCGGTGGGCTGATTAACGCGAATTATCGCCACCGCCGCCTCCACGGGTTGCGCTTAGTTTGGAGAACTAGCGTACGCTTGGCGCCAGCTAATTGCTCGGAGCAACGCTCTGAATGATCGCGAGGAATCGATAGAGACACCTTTCTGCTAATGCAGATGTGTTGGATACAGGCGCTCGAGATGCTCGAGTTCAAAGAGGATTATTGAGCTTCGTACCACTCCCACGCAAGCCAGAATCTCTCACTCGCTCACTCCTAGATCCGATTCCCGAACAAATTAACTGAGGCTCCGATGAGGAGCGTTCCACGCAGGAGCCGTGGGTCGGGACAAATGAAATTCAAATATTGTCGCCTCCTAAACGTCAGAGCCAAGGGCGACGACGGGCCACGGAACATTTTTTGTCTGTTCGTCTCGAGTCACAGTCAGTCACTCACTCCTGTATCAGTGTTATCTGGTGGCGTTAATCGGCGGGCGAACGATGCCAGCGTCTGGACGGACGACTTTCGCGGAACCCGTAGATGATCTTGGAGGGTCTACTCACACATAGGCTCCGGGAGTCTCATGGCACTTCTACGAAAATTGACCGAAAAAAACTCCGAGCAGGCGTCAACTCTCGTTTCGCTGCTTTCCGGAACGATCTGCGAACACTTCTTGGATACCGCGAGAGAAGCAGTCGGACACCGGTGGAAAAACCACCGATCCACGACGACGGAGCAAAGGTACTCGAGAGAAACTCCGATATTGGAAGTGGACGACGCAGACTAGTGGCGCCACGCCGAAGAGGTCTGGGGCATCGGCGACCTTTCCGGGACTTCCATGTGTTGATTTTCTCCGGCTCTATAGCCCCGATGCCCCTAGCCGTCGCGACCGTGGGCCGCGCCCGTCTGGCAGTCGGCTAGTCAGAGATCCGGTGACGATAACTCAGCTCTTCGAACCTACGAAATTTCCGGTTTGAGACTCGAGATGAAAATTAAACTTTTGAGCTGTCGCGGTCTCACGCAGAAGAATAAGCTAACAAGCCGAGAGACACTGATTCAATTTTGAACTGACTTTGAAATGCTAGCCGTGTCGACCGGCGATTTCTCCAGCACATTCGACATCGGGAGGCACGTGTCGCGTGCACAATTATTAATTCGGCACTCAATGTGTTCATGTGCTCATGTGGGTTTCGCATCGTGCTCCCCGGGTCGTCGCCACCGCGACGCCGCCATCGGGAGAAGTGCTCACAGTCCAACAATTTGTCCATCCATCCGCTGGCTCGTTGCTTCATCTACAATGTTTCCTTGTGTGACACTGTAATTCGATTTCATCGTCATTCAAAATGGCAGAGCCCAGGCGGCGAGACAACAGGCTCAAATCCCTCGTGGATTCGCCAACACAATGAAAACGCTGTTCGGCCGTGAGCGAACTCACTGAGTGGAGTCGGAGATCAATCGGCCCTGTTGCCGCGCTGCAACAATTATTATCGTTATTATTATGGATCGAAGTCTCGAGGAAAAGGAATATGAATTCCTTCGACGCGACCGGACACGCTCGATGAGGGATGAAATTCGCGTTTGGAACAGCTGCGGTATAATGCGAATTCGATGGCGTCGAGGCCTCCGGAGGGAACTCGCGTCACCATGAAGTCAGTTCGGTGCACTCTTCATCCTCCTCTGGTGTACTCGTCACTGCCTCAGTCGTTTGTCGTCGACACCCGGAGTCGGAGGAAGTGAGCTTTCGAACTCGAGCTAACTCAATAATTGTAATGAGAAGATAGAGTGACAACGGCGTCGCCGCCGCTCGAGGAGTTCCACTCCGACCAAGAGTTACGAACGAGCACGCGCAACAGCCAAACGAAGTCGCAAAAAGGACAAACGCGGGAGGGCGAACAAATTCACAGCTAATAGAGTCGATGGCGGGAAGAGCGACCGGGAGGCAGGTGACTCTTTTTCCTCGCGGGAATATAGAAGCATTGAGCTCCAAACTGCGTTAGGAGCGACGTGAGATCACAGACAATCGCATCGCTGACTTGTTCATCGAATTTATGCGACTCCGTCCCCCGGAGCAGCACCGGGGCTGACCGTTGGGTGAGGTTCGACGCTATTCGCCCCGAGACGCCGGAAAGCGGAAAAATTCGCTTAGGATTCTCCGGCGCAATCTAATTTTATCTGGCTGCACGCTCTATACGGCTCGCCGTGAATAGTTAAATGTCGTCGACGCCATAATCGCGTCCCTGTTCAAACATCGAGGGCTTGTAAAGCGATGTTGTGCACTCCAGAAGGAGATTAACTCTCTTCCGACAGAAGCTAGAGCCGAGATCTCCATTGTTGTGGCTCGTTCTGTCACCTCTCGTGTTAGTCGATGAAAAGAGCCGAGAAAGAGTTCCGTACCATAGATAAAGATGAGTCATTCTCCCTTGATGTTGATACATTGTGACACCAGAACTTCGGGCTATCGAGCATTGACGTTGCTACAGACGGGTCAGAGCAATGGATATAAACATGCGGCAGATGACCGAGGAGATAAGCAGACAAACAAAAAGAAGAAAACGCGCGAAGGGCTTGAGTGATGGGGTTCCCATACAGAAAGCAAAAAAAATGGCACCTTGATACCGGATATCAAACGATCATCTCTGCTCCGGCTCTTTATCGCGTTCGTCATTGTTTCTGTCGTGTTTTATTGACAGTTGTCATGAGATCCCATCAATATTGACCGCTACGCTGGCGCTTCTGACCGCAGGCGCCCGTCACGGAGACTCATCTACTTCGCAGAGCTTTCGAGGATCTCCGCGAACCGAGTGAGTTTTATCCCGATTTTGGAGATTGAAGGCCGCGGACTATTCCCTTGTTCCAGATCTACGGAATCTGAGCGACTCTAGTCGAGAAGAGACAAAGCGATACACGAATTGGTGTCGGAATAGCAAAAATGGGGTGATCACGTGCAGGGTTCCGAACTTCGAGAGGATCGGAGGTGTTTCACGTCATGAATCGCCGGCCGGAGAGCTTGTCTACCAGAGCGGGAATAACCGGTAGGCGACACTCTATGGAGACGCGTATAACACGTGAGAATCGACTCCGAAAGGAAGACGCAGAAAATCATGAGACGAGAGGATGAAAAACGACCGAACAGCTGTTTCCGAAACAAGCGGGCAGAAAAGTACACACAGAAAACATGGGCAGATGTTTGAACAACGCAGCGTAATGATCCTTTCGAAGGCTAATTGTCGACACTCGGCCCGCTGCCTTGTCGGTCTTCATCATCGGCTCCGTTCGGCTTCGTCTTGGCGAGTTCGTCCACGGTCTGAGCCTCCCTGTCTGCCCTGGACCTAGCAGGCGACTACTCCAGCGAACTCGACGTGAAAATGGCCAAGGACCGAGCTCGCGTAAGTATATCAGATCAGCCCAATTACGGCGGGAAAGTTGATCCCATTTACGGTTAGATTAAATTTGAAGTGGATCATATCCTAATTCTCATCCGTCATTCGGCTTTCATCCGGGTTCCGAATTCCAAAAACCGAGCGAATCACCCTCTCGGCCATAGGATTCACTTGCTGAAGACACCCTGGAACTGTTCATCAAGCGACCGGATGAGTGACGGGCGAGTGAGGTCGGAGCGACGGAGGAGCTCCGACTTCGCCTTTTTCGAATGAGATACTCATCAGCGCCGACGCCGTAAAGCGCAGTAAAGCCCGTCGTGGCGCGCCATGAAGACGCCATCCATGGAGAACAAGACGCCAGTCAGTCAGTCAGCAAGGTAGCCGTCCATGCCCGGGCCTCAGTTTAGACAACGACAAGCTCACAAACTCACGAAATTTAAGCGGACGAAGTCGACAACGACTGCGGCGGCGGTGACGACGACTGCGAAAACCGAGAACACGAAGAAGAAGAAGTCGGAGGAGGTGGCGGAGGGAATTACTCGACTAAAACAAGCACGGGAATCGACGCCAACCGAAGTGTTAACAAGCCACCATAGACTGAACAAGTGAGCACCCATCGATCCTGGACTCACACACACAGAACTTACACACTCACAGACAAACAGAAACTCACAACGGATGGCTGCCACAGCCACAGACACGTTTAATCATCTGGCGTCATCTCCCACTTCGAAAATTGACTTTTAAACCCTGTATTTTTCCCCCTCGCTTTTTCTTCTCCTCTCGCGCGCTCATATATGGGTGGCTCGGAGAAGAAGAATTCGACGTCAATCGCGATCCTCATTGATTTCGGTGTAATTCTGATTTCCTTCACGATGAAAACTCCAGGAGACATGACGTTCGGAACGCAGGGCCTACGCTGCCTTATTAGATTCATTTTTTCTGATGGTTGAGATTTTCTCTCGGGAGAGCTTGCGGCAAGTCAGCTCGGACGACTACCCTAGAATATTTGTCTCCTAACGAGGATTTCAAACCATTTTAATTCGCCGGCGGGGTCTCTGACCGCACTCCTGATCGAGAAGAGACATCAATCTCCAGCTTCGTGGAAATGTTGATACGGAGTTGATTGGGGAGACTCTTCCGCTTCCGGTTTTCAGCGATTTCATTCAGACTCCTTGCCGCTTTTGAAAGAGCAATCGTCGTCGTGATCGCTCGCAACTCATTTCAGAGGATGAGTCGACTGCTGGCGTACATGGATGATGATTGTTCGGTCCCGCAGTTACGTTCATTCAGAATATTGTTAGGGGCACCCGAAGCCAGTCGGCCGTTGGCTACCTGAATCAGTGCGTTGGGTGCATCGTTAAGCGAAGTCAGTCCGTCATCGCGTCGCCACACTAATCGAAAACTGCGTACGTAACGTAGGTAGCCAAGGAGCGAAGCGGAGAAAACGGAGAATCGGGTCGTCATGAACAGCTTTCTGCTCTCCCGGCTGATCCAGTCAGCGACTCAATCTCATAAAACTCCTTTCCAGATTCAGTCGACGATGGGTTAGTGGTCGAGTTCTCCGGTGAATGAACGGAACGAGGAAAACCGGACGTTACGCGCAAACGCCTCCTGGACCATAGATCCCGTTCTTCCTTAGTCGAATCGCCGAATCTGAAGACCATGATCCATGATCGATCCTTCGATCTAGCACGCAGATCTCTTGAAGGACGAGCAGCATACGAAGGGAACGAATGGTTTGGGAATTATTGTCTTGACTCCGATCGTCCAGAGCGTGACTGTCCATGGTGAATACACTGAGTCGCAGCAATTGACGAAAAACGAGCACGCCAACTCGGAGGAGGGGGCTCTGGACTCTCAACTCTCATGACCACCCGCAAGTGCAGAACAGTTGAACCCTCCCAAGATGAGTTACTCATTTTAAGGGCCTCGGAAATCGAGTCGATTACATAAACACGGACGAACAATTGTCGAGAGCATCGATCGGGAAGATCTTTTGTCGAGATAGAAGCTCTCGGAGCTCTAGAAGGTAACTCAGACTGCGATCGTTCGCTCTATTCCCGTGAATAATGATCGGACAATTCGGTCTTGCAGCTGGGCGATCACAGCTGCGCGGAATAAATTTTGAAAAGAACCGCCGAAGAGTCCCGACTGACCGAGCTAATGATTCCGCTTTAACGCGGTCGGACTCGACTGTTTAAACTCGAATCCGGATCAATGAAAACCGTTCCATTTCCTAGTGATTCTGCATAAGTTTGGTGACAAGGAATTCCTTCCGAAGTTCAATCACACACTGGTGAGTGGGAAACCGAAGGTTGTCGGCAATTCATCACCCATATCAACGGGAATAGGGAAATATTTCGGGGGAACTCACCGTCCGGATTTGGTGATAATCATCTCTGTGCCGAGGTTGTGGAAACTCTCCCAGAGTTCTTGGCTCTCGAGGACGACTTTCGGGTCGTACTCATCAGCAAGGATGGACATCATGCTGAAATCGGATGTTTTCCGAGGCGCCATCGACTGGTCTGAGTCTTTGTGGTGTTTACTCGACACGAGGTTTTTCTTTTCGCTGACAATTTCTGCGTCCGATTCTTCGATCCCGCCTCGCATGGTATCGGATGACGGCACCCAAGTCTTGATCGTACCGTGTCCGAAATGCGATAGAAGATGAGCACTATTGAGCGATTGAGCACTGTTGTCGCACTGGGTCGACTCTGACTGAGCGACCGGCGAACTTCACGATAACGAACCTGGCCGAAGTCGATGCGGCTGGTCGAGCGAAATTCGAGTTCACTGAATTATCGCAGCACTGATCGGAGCAATATCTTCTGGAGTTTCTGTTGCCCGAGAGAACTCTCCGATCTCGTGTCCCTGCTATTGCGCACGAGCACGGGTTGTACAGCTGCGAGCAGAAGATAATTGTCATCCAGAGCACAAAGTATCGAATGGGCAGGCCGGTGATTGAGAGCTTGGTCCGGACTGGGATCAAACTTCTGACGTTCGACGCCAGAAGACGCAGCAGAAGTGTCGTTCACGACGGTAAAGCTAGAACAGAGTGGTGGCAGAAGATGAGTCCATCGTCATCACATCGACGGCGGTGGCGGCGGCGGCTGGCTGTGGCGATGGTGTTAGTACTCGCGCTCGGTGATCGTGGCGGCGGTGCTGGTGTTGTTCGCCACGGCCGATCCCCGGGTCGGAGCGATTTCCCCTCACTCATGCAGTAGCAGCCGTCGTAGCGCCCTCCTCCGAAGACCTCCCTTCACCTCAGAGATGCTCCGCCCCTCCACTCTCTTTGACACTCGGTCTGCTTGCCGGCGGCTCACTTACGCGTTCTCTATCGACTTTTTTTCTTTCTCCCTCTTTTTTCCTCTCTCGCTTACGCACTCCGTCTTTCGCTTTCCCACTCGGTCACTCCTTCGTTGGCAGCCTGTGCCGCTCCCGCGGTGGTAACTAAGGCAGACGAGCAGGCAGTCGGGCTGCAACCGAGGAGCAATACTCTCGGCGATCGACCATTGAGGCACATCACCGAGGACGGTGGTGGTGGCGGCGGCGGCGATGGCGTCTCGATGGACGAGCCAGCGAGCGAGTGCAACAAACACGACGACATCAGCGGGCCAAGCCGACGGCGGGCCAGCCCACGCCGGCGCCGCGATAATTTTCTTCTGCTCTGCATGTGTGTCCGGATGAAAGAGAGAGACTGAGAGAGAAAACGACGATCGAAAGGAGAAGGAAGAGAGTGAGGCTGAGAATGATTTCGCGAGCGGGAGGAAGGGAGTAAGCGTAAGGCTGTGCGTTTCAGCGAGGGAGACGTCTGAGAGGGAAAATGCGAGAGCAAAAGAGGGATTTGATGAACTTGAACAAAGTGTCATGGCGAAGGAATCGAATGGAAGGGGTGGAGAAGACCGAGAGGGGAAATCGGGAAAAGTAGATGAGAAAGGGGAAAGAGGGTAGAACGAGGAAGTCGTGAGAGAGGGGAACGTAAATAAAACAGGAACCCGGATCAACAGCTCGAGTTGATGGGAAAATCAGGAGGCAGAGGAAATCTCGCTCCCAGAGCATGTTCCAGGACATGGCCCACTCCTGGACCGGCCTCTGATAGTTGTCCTGCGGGGTCCGATATTCCGGACGGGGTGACGGGGACGAGGAAATTCCTCGTTTCTGATTCTGGACAGGAGTTTTTGGGAGCGGCGTTCCGATTTTTCCCCGGGGCAAACAGCTGGTATGACGTCATGCGATGAATGACACGCGAAGGCTCAGGAGAGCGATGACGAGGATATCGTCATGGTCGTCGTTTTCACCGTCGGAGACACTTCGCGCGATTGCCCGCTGCCGACGACTACCCGCAAGACCCCCGAGGCCCTCACAGACTGCTGGCGAAGTGGCCGAGCAAGCAGTTAGGCAGCGGGGAACGAGCGAAGGAAGCAAGCGACCATCAGCGGCGGAATGCGGGAACGCCAGACGCGAGACTCGCCGTCGCGTCTGACGGCGCCAAACGTCGGGGCGGGACTTCGGCAGCTCCGACAACAAATCGACGCCGGAGTCGAAATGATGGGACGATCATGTTGCTTGATCAGACAAACCTCACTGCGAAAAGGCTAACAACGTCAGCGTCAGCGGGTCGTCTCCACTTCGGCAACGACGACGACTACAAGAGAGAACACGACGAAATCCTGGCAGACTGAGCACGAGGCAAGTCGGATAACCGCCATCAGACACCTAAGACGCGGGTGAAATCTCGGCCGGGGCAAACTTGCCACCACTCTGACTCAGACACTCATGTAGGGAATACGTCGTTCTGTCGGCTCATTCCGTGAATGCGTGACCCGGCAGAATGACAGGATGCCTTGATGCAGATTTACGAGAGCTGTTGAAAATTGGCGCAATTTACCGGGAAAGGAATGATCTCTCGAGGGTTTTTTATGAATGGTTTCAGAACGAGCCTCAAGAGGCGCAACTTTTTCCGGCTCTTCTGAGAGATTTTTCGGGAAACGTCCGACGAGGATTCTCACTCGGTGCCTCAAATGAGGGAAATTCTGACAAACTTTTATATTCTGACACCGCAAGAGAACCTGCGGCTAGCCAGAAGAACGCGAGGGACGTACTTGGATCAGCCGCTTTTCGCAGGCAATTTATTTCCCCCTTCTCTGATGTGTGAACAATGAATGAAACTTAAACTTCTGAATTATGGAGAGCCGTCAACAGCTCTTCCCGACTTGAACGCTTCCAGAACAATACAATGAATCATTGATGTAAGTGAGATCCTGCACGAAGGGGATCCATCACCTCACGCTCGAAACCTCCTCCGGTCTCTTCTCATTTCGTCGTGCGAAACAGCGACTGAGGCACGCGCAAACACGTCGGACAGCGAGCGATGCCGACTTTCAAGCTTCCATTTTGCTTCGAGCCCGATCCCGAGACGGAGAAGCGAAAGTGTCGTCCATCAGACTTCCTCGCCTCTCAATCAAGGTTCTCGACTCTCTTTTTGAAGAAGAACCGAGAAAATCCCGCTCGACATCCGACGACTGCGCCAGGAATGTAGTAATGGTCGTTCGAAACGAAATGCAGAACGCTTTAGATTGTCTTGGACTTGGGCTTCAGAGCTCTCGTCGTCGCGGAGCGTCCACTGACTTTGCGCCTACAGGAGAGATCCTCGTAGACGGTATAATAGCAGCATCCTAAATTGATTCTAGAAAGAATTCTCTCATCGAGAAACACGGAACCGGATCCCCCGAAGAAGTGTCATCCATTTTGAAGCTGTCCGAAGCAGATCGGCGGCAGGATAATCAGCAGCTATCGGTATTCACTTCCCTATTAGCATCCAGGCTCGCGGAGTCGACTCCGCGGAAGAAAAATTGATTTCTGAATAATATGGCCGCGTACCGTTGCACAAGCGAGAAGCGCGTGGAAGCCCGAACCGTGGATCGAGGAGTGTCTCTGACGGCTGTTTATGAGATGAAAACTGTAAAAGACTCTGATTTCCATTTTGCGACCAAATTAGGCTCGTTAGTTTCGTCACTTCGAGTGCATATTTTGCCGCCTCATTTCCATTGACTTACAACACAGAGATTCCCTCTCTTGTCGTCTTACCTAAATGAAGCTCCTGGCTTCGACCGCAGATGCTCCTCATGGGATTCGCGTTTATCGGGATCGGGGAATAGTTGTGCTATTTCGAGTTTTTTTCGGTTGTCTGATCCCCCATGTGTCGATAAAACATGGGGAACAGGAACGGCTAATGACTTCAGACAAATCACTGAAATCATCATCCCTTTCATCGGTCGGGTCACGATTCCTATTCCCGGCATTTTCCACCTGGGGCCGGTCTCGCTAGGAGCTCCGGACTCATCTGTTCATTCTCTGTATCACAGCCCTTGTAGTTGGGAACTATCTGCGGCACGCGGCACGATGGCCGAATCAATCGCCCGCAGGTACACTCGTTGGTCAATCTGGCGTCAGTAGCGTCGGGAGTGGTGGCTACGAAAAGGGGATCGACGTTATCAGCCACTGATGGTCATTTTTCTTCCTGTGGGGACATTTGTCACCACCTCGAGGAGCATCGGCAAGAACTCGACGGCGGCCGCTGTGATCAAATCGGAAGTGTCAGCTTGCGTTGGATCCATGATAATTACACTCAAGAGTCTTCCAGCTCATTTTCGCAGATTGTGTAAACACTTTTGGACTAGCATCGAGAATGTCAAGCAGACGAATCTCCTTCAAAACGTCCTGTTCGAAATTCGGGCTGACCACTGGGGCAGCGCTGAGGGTTCGGTCATCGGAAAATTTGAGAGCATGATTCGATTGATTTCACTGAGTGAGAGATGGCCGACGGAAATCTCGATCGAGGGAACTTTTGATCGACTTCTCGCTACACCGGGTCTGGGAGCATGGACGCTTCGGAGCTCGAACTTATGGCCGCGTGTTGGGAGATGAGTTTCACATGTGGATGTGGTGTCTGGGTTGCAAGCTGTGAAACGAGAAGCATAATGAGGTCTGTCTGAAACTGAATAGCCAAGCAGACATCGAGCCGGCCCGAATGCGATCCTTCCCAACGGTGTTTGCGAGCACCATCTGCTCCGAAGGCCTTCGGAGTGAAGTTCTGTTTGCCGAGTGAGCGCTCGTCTCGTCCCGTTGTCGATGTTGGGTGCGTAGCCCCGGTACTTCTCAGGCATGTCCATTAGAAACTCGATGAAATGATATGATACCCTCCAGCTTGCTCCGTGACGTTCCGGAGTCGAATCTTCACCTAGGAAGCTTCTGGAATTTCCCAGCCGATGAATTCCCTTTCTGCCATGAGCCGATCCGCCTTCCCGAGGAAGACCCCGAAACGTGCTCTCCTCTAATCAGCTCATGGAGGACGCTCGGCATAGCTCGTCGAAGGTCGAGCTTTGCATTCGGTGACTCTCGAATCTTTCCGTAGTTTTCGTCAGCCCCGTATACATCACGAGTGAAAAGGAACCCGTCGCTGGCGTCATAGGCGAAGGGATGTTGCCGGTCTGATAGCAAAACACTGTAAAGAAGAAACTCTCCCGAGATGAGTCACGAACTACCGATTCGTTGGGCGGGTATTTTTTCCTATCCGTAGCTCGTCACTGTTCGCATTTAGTTCGCTGGCTGAGCAGCGAACCAATGCCTGCACTGGTGGTCCCTCGGGTTTCGTGAATCGAGAGAACAATAGAATTCACTGCGACATGAGGGAATGCTTCGATTAAAACTCGCAAGGGCTGCTTTCGATACTGCATGTCCTTTAATTAGGAAGAGTAAGATGTTGCACTAAAAGTCATCGAGTGAAAGTCATTCCGTTCGACCTCCACCGGATCGATGACGGTCTCATGTTCGAAGGCTCGAGAACCAGCTGCGCGGCGATTTCTATAGAAGAATCCGATTATATAGAAATCCGCTGAGGAAGTCACACGTGACAACGACCGTCGGAATGGACGTAGCGGATGGAACCGACGGAACCGACAGGAACTTATGGAAAACTTCCTCTCCCGTATGGCCGAGGATGAAGGGAAGAAAATATTGAAGGACGATACCAATGCTTTCCGACTGCTACGCAATGCGTGAACAGAAAACATTTATTATTTGGTCGTTACTATAGCGGGTTTCCATCGTCTCTTCGTTGTTATCTTCTCCGTTGTCGTCAGTAACATTCACGTCTTTGCGATCAAAAAATCTGGCAACCGGAACATGTCCATAGGATATTCGTCTGTTTGGCGGGTCATTCCACAGCGATGCTTAGCGCAATCATTCCAAGCTATGACGGCTCCTTCGCATTCCGAGAATCGCCGACTAATGATTCATCCATTCGTCCTTTATTAAATATATCTGCCACTCCATGGAGCCCTTATAATCTCTCGACAAAATAATTTTCGAGGCAATCATCCCCAATGAGGGAATTTATCACGTCGTTGACATGAGAAAAACAGTGCAGATTGAAACAAGCGTAGGTCTCCCTCAGACTACGCTTCCTTCCGATATTCTCTCGCTAGGTGCATGGAGGATTCCATGATGTTTGGTGACGGCGAGGTAGCGACTCCTGCGATTCGGGCAGACCGCCCTCTCCTCACCTCATGAACTCGTCGAACTCCTCTCGACGCCTTGATAAATCTACGAGAGACCCCGTCGCATGTGTGAGGCTTGTTCGATTCTCTCGTAGGGAAGAGAACGATCAAATCATCAACAATAATCTGATTTCTGGTGACGGGGGACTTTCTCTTCGGCTTCATCGGTTGTGGGTTTTCAAGCTTCTTCTTCATTGCAGGATAAGCTTTCTCCTCATTGAAGCTTCAGATTATTTCGAAACAAGCCGAAATTCCGGCTTTTGACGGCACGGTCCGACGAAACAGGTGTACTCTAGTGTCACGACGTCGGAGACTGACACACGGGATTTCGAGACCGATAAGGCGCCAAGACTGCGATGAACGACATCAAAGGAGTGAACCCTGGACGGAGACAGACACTGCTCTCCGAAGACGTGAGCATCCGCGAGATGATGGTATGAGCACATGATTTGAACCCAATGAGCTCCATTGATTTCATGCGTCCCGTTCGAGAGTCGCTTAGCTGCCGGATCCATGGTCGACGAATTCCACTCCCGTCCGGGTGGGTTTTGAACGAGCGTAGTCATAGAATAAAGACTCCATGCAATACACTCGTTCGTTTTGTGCGCTGGAAAGTTCAACTCATTGCTTTCTGCAACCGCGCTCCGGTCGAGACCCGTCGAGAGTTTTCATTGATGGCTCCAGGTGTATCCATATTCGCTTGAGTTGACGATCCCTGACTAGAAGTCTCAGGCACACTGCGAGGAAAAGTTTGGAGGATTTTTTAAATACCCGAACTCCCACCTAATCCACTCGCTCGATCCGCTCCCAGCGCGTCGAATTCTACTCACCAATGGCTATTTGTCGCCCAAGCGCGATAAGGACATCATCGCCAGCTGCTCCTGCCGTTTTTCCAATCCTGGAAACGAAACTTCCATAAGTCATCGCGGAACGAGGTTCCCTTCACTAGACCCTAGAAATAGGTCTCGTATGTCGAGGGACCTCCCCGATTCCGGTGAGTCAGAGAACCCGAATGAAGTCACACGGACTCCAATCGTCGTCGACGTCATAACTCATTGAATAACCATTCCGTGTTCGGACGTCGCGTTGTTAGCGTAAGGGGGCCTTGTTACGGATCCCCCAGTCCTCGTCGCGTGACGCATGATATGCTCAAGCACATCGTATGTCTTTCGTAAGTCATTCACGGTCTTGAGCTCGGTTGCCCATGTACATATGCGGATGACGGAGGACTGATCTCTACGAATCCAGTACTGGTGGTAGTCGTAGTAGGTAATCAACGGCATGAAAATGAGGAAGGGTTCTGAAAGAACGGACTCCGAGCGAATAATGGGAGGAAGGAGCGACCCTGACGCCACGAACAGAGCAACTCACCGGCCGCCGTGGCCAACGAGGATCGCCGAGGAGTTCCTTCAACAGCTAACAACAGCTATCAAGAGTGTGCCTGCTCAAAAGTGTGTATATAGATGAATACAACGAGTTAGTCCCACCCATGTAATCGTTGGCCGCTCACTCGACGACTAGTTCAACATTCGAGCGACAGCTGCTCTCGGGGTGGTGCTGATGGTGGCGACGACGACGACGATGCTGCTAACGTTCGTACTAGGGAAATCCGACCGAGCGACCGACCGAGCGACCAGAGAGGCAGGCAGCTAGGTAGCGAGCTGACACCGCTGCCGCCCCGGCTAAGATAATCTACGATCAGTGAGGAAAGGACCTGGTGTTGAGCAAACAGCTCTAACACGACAGCTAAGGATGATAGAGCAACAACAACATCGGCCGCGGCGACACCGACGACGTCGTCGGAACCAGGAGGAGCAGCGTTTAGTCAGTGGCGGTAGTCGTAGGTAAATATTGTGAACGTTGACTGGACGGAGCGGCGCCTGGGAGTTGCTCACGACTTCACGAGTTGGTTGGAATTTCTCCGCCGGAACAGCAGCGTTCATCAATGTGTCCGCTCGCTCGCTCGCTTGCCCGAACCTCTGTCCGTCCGCTCATCTATACATCGTCCAGTTGGGCTCGTAGCTAAATAGCTGGCTGAATGTAGGCAGACGGACAAGCGGGCAAGCAGACCTCACCGTGGAGCGCCCCGTTGTTCACTTTACGTTTCTGGTGCGGCAGCGGCCGCAGACCGAGTGGGAGGGTCGCATACGAGCGCTTTTACGAGCGAGAAATTCGTATGTACGTTTGAATCGCGTAGGCGCGTCACGATGGGCACGGGCCGATGTTCACCTACACGAATGTTACACATTCAGAATCACGTGTCCGTCTGAAACACGAACGAGTTGCCGACCAAACAACTTCTCTGCCGAGACATTGAAACTCCCGACGCCGTAAATGGTATCTTCGTCGGCTGGTCACACGAAGCAGAAAACGGATAGAAACTCGTAGAGTATCGTTGCATGATGTTCGGATATAATCAGATTGAATCGACGATAAGTTTCCCTACATGACGTCAGTGACAGGATGTAACGGTCGAATTCCAGCTTCATAGGGTTGGATGTTCTCGAAAGGAACTTGGATCGTCACGACGCTCAGTGAATTTCGATTTATCAGAAACGGAGGGAACTCAAAGAATTAGGTAATGAACGTCCTAGACTCAAACGTCATCGAGTCGGCTACCAATCGGAGCCGAAAGCGTGATTCGTCACGGCATGAGTCGAGCCGCTCAGAGATACAGGAGCGAAGAAACGAGAGCAAGGAACGGCCGTCGTCTTGGCTCCGTACATTTGTAGTTATCTGGAAATCGTGATTCTGCTCCGGCCAATGATGATGGTGGTAGCGTGATGCTGGAAATAATCACGCAACACCTTCCGATTTACGAACAAAATGATCGTCGTCGCCGCCGCTACCATTCGCTCCTGTCTGCGTGTAAATAACACACACACGCACGGTTCGCGAAATCCGGGGCCGACGGTGGAGTCGAATCGACGGATCTCGTTGGCAAATGGCACCAATGGCAACTTCAGATTGCTCCCTCATGATGCTGCCGAAAACGATGATGATGATCGGACTGTGATCGGGAGCGACACGGTAGGCGGTAACGCCGCGAAGTCGACTCCGACGAGTTTGACAGCGGCATCAGGAAAGGATCGACAAACATGTCGTCAACTGGTTGCACTCATTATTATTACAATCGCCGCCGTCCGAGTGATAGAGTGAACAAATTCGCTTGCCGAGAATGAAGAGCCGTCAGAAGACCCCGCTAACGTCAACATCGTTATCAAACTATCGTCTTGGTCCTCATCGTCTTCGACACTACGTGGTCTTCACGGACCTCGTCAGCCGACGACAGGCTCCCAAAGAAACGTCCCCGCTCCGCAATCCAAGGCACGGCGCCAAAGAGAGGAAACGCTTCACATAGTTCAAATCGTGCGAAAGTGACCTTCATTCCTACACAGCTGGACACGACATTTTTCTGGTAGGTTTCCGGATATCGACGCTCGAACACCTCCGATTCCAATGATTTTTCAGAGATTTACTCGGTTCGACTCGTTCCTGCTCATAACACCGGTCAATAAGTCGATTGACCTAACAGAAACTCCCCAATGCCAAAACGTCGGGAAGTTCCTCGGACCGGTACTGGTGGAGCGATGCCGGCGAATTTCGTCGTTTCCACGGTAACTTCGGTCGTTTGCGACGAATATTGCTCCGTCGACGCTGAGTGACATCGATCAGTGAGCGAACGGACGGAAGTGCGATCGTATTCAAGCGCGATTACTTCTGCTGTATATAGAAGCCAATCCGATAGAGCCTCTGGTGTGAAGATCGATCGGGAATAACTCACCCGACACCATTTTCTGGATACTTTTCAGCTGGTCGTCCGCCGACCGTATGAGAGCATGTGATCCACTCGAAGTTATTTCTGTATCTTCTCCAGGTACTTCTCCCCTGGGCCCGAAGGAGAACATAGGTTTAGTTGCGAAACCGTGCCCGCCGTAGCCAGGAAACGCGACCGACATCCGATCCTCATGCTGTTGTCGCAGAGCTGCAAAAAAAATTGACATCGGTAAAGATCCTCCTTTCTGTTGCGCGCGAAGTTTGACTTCATCTCGAAGTTCATATCCGTGGTCCTGAGTCGCTGAAAATTCCTTGCGAATGAAAATTCCTAGCTAGGAAAAACCTATCTCGAGGAAATCTCCGATAATCCTCGGTTTCCCTCGGCCTTTGTGGTATAAGAATCGATTGCATACTTTCAGAAGAAAAAGCGCGGCACCGCTTGGAAAACTCCCTTTACAGGCGCCCCAACTTTGTCGATCGAGCGCTCTTCTCTGAGACGGTGATCAGTCAGGCAAACTCTCCAAACTCCCCAATTCATCGCTTGATCCCGTCCAGGCGACCGAATCCAAATTACGCCAACGTATCGTTCACCTATTGGTCCTGGAAGCGAGGGCCTGGACTACCTATTCCTATTCATACTTCAAGTGTTGCTTGCCCTTGTTTGTTCAGCTTCCAATGATCTTTCAGCACGAGGTCACAGACCCCCTCATTCTCCCGAGGAGCGGGGATTTCCTACGGATCTCTGATTTCTACTTCGAGAGCATCGACGAGAGCAGAATGATAGGCTTAACTCGAGCCCGGAAAGAAGGCCCATTCGGTCCAAACCTCATTTGAGCAAGCGAGATGCCATATATGTATCTCCAATGACTTTTCCGGCTCCATTGTTCATGATGACATGGGGGCTCGCGAGGGAATCTCAGTTTCCGAGGTCGAGGACCATGAGGAGGGAACTTCGATAGGCTTCGCTCTGGGGCTTCCGCTCGGCCGTACATCGAATATCCATATCCGTCCAATAATTACTGAAGGGCCGCTCCTCGTGTTCCGTTCGGCGACGAGTTCCTTGTCGCGTCGTCTCAGCGGACATCGGCAGTCTCGCCGCGGCCCTCTCAGTCACTGTGCCGTCTAGATCATGAATTCACCGCGATCATCCGACTTTTCAAAACAGAGGACTGGTGATGACTCCGACGAGATCGTCCGGCGACAGATCGACTCGGCCATTCTCTCCTACTTAGAGGTGTTCTCGGATGAGTTGTCCGCGCTCGAAGTCGACGCTTTCGAATCTCTCCGCGATCTCATGAAAAACTTCAAAGCGAATTTGGATAATGCACAGACTTACTCACTCTATCGGTCGCTCGGCCGCCTGCTCGCTCATCCACACGCTAACATACACACACACTCGAAAAAAAGAAGAAGATATTCGGTCTATCTTTGTCGGTCTGCTTCGCAAAGGGAATGTCTTTGAGGCGTCTTCGACTTCGTCGGAGGTCTTCAGCAGCCGTCTGCGGAGTCGTCTTCCGTGCTCATCGTCGTGGTCGCCGAGGTCTTCCTGCTTCTTCCGATGCGTAGAGAAGTCGGGACATCTCTCAAATATCTCCAGACAAGCCCTCGAGTGTAACGGCACAACCCTAGCCCGGATCCGTTTCCAAGTGCCGCGCCCTGCTTTTCGGAACTCGACGTTTGCCGCCACCATCTGATCCGGTCGCTCAACGAATCCAGTCTCGCCCGGCGGCTCGTCGAGTTCGACGGATCTTTCTTCCGCCGATAACTCGAGTTCTCATTGTTCGTTCGAACAACACGCTGCCTGATCCGAACAGCGATAATTCCAGCTAGGAGTCGGCCATGATTTGACCCTTTCCTGGAGTTCGGGCTCTCGTATAATTCCCGGAGCTCCTTTCCGACTTTCATCTGCGACGGAACACCTCTTACGATGTTTCTCCCGGAACATTCGCAGTCCGCTGAGAACGACATCAGCCGCTCCGGCCGCCTGAGCGATCGTGGAGTCGACTTTTCGATGAAGAACATGTTCAGAGGGAAGGAAACAAATAAACCGAAGCCAAGAAGAGAACAAGCTAACAAACAGATCGGGAGTCAGATCGGGCTAATCGGGGTCTCACAAGGCGCTGTGGTCGATGTTGGTTTCTTTTCAGTTCGAGATAAAAACGTTTAGTTTTAACAGGTACTCAACAAGCAGACTGATTGTGCACCACTGATAACGATGACTACCTGGAGAGTGAGCGTTACGACGGTTTTAACAGCGTCAGCTTCAAGGTACTCGAAGACGACAAACAACAGCAGCAGCAGGGCCATCGACAACGACGACAGGTAGAACGATAGCAACAAAAAAAACACGAAGACAGAGATATCCGAAGATAACGAGAGTGAGCTATCTGACGCAAGACGGCAGCCGCAGAAGCGGCAGCGGCGGCGACAACAACAGCTGGGATGTCCTAGCTCCGCATGACGCCTCAGTGTACACGACGAGGACGACAAATCGAGCTTCGGATCAAGCGGCTCTACGCGGACTGAAGACGACGGATAAGTGAGCTTTTGTTGGACGCAGAAGACACGAGAGTATATCTCACTCGGATCTCCAAGTACCTATTGATCGTTGCAGTTTCGTGTGGTCATCGGAGAAACTTTCCGAGAAGCGACGGGTAATGATTTGCAGAACGCGAACGGACGCGTGAACAATTACAAAAGAGAGAGAGGGATGAAAGAGAAGTCATGTTTCCTCCTTTGTTCTCAAGTCAGCACGACCACAGACTGACCGCGAGCAGAGAGCGTAACCTCTTGCTGCTTCTGGGTTCATCAAGATGGCAGTTGTCATCGTCTGGATAATTTCACCATTCCTCGACTGTGGGATGCTCATGCAGAAAACCTGTGTTGGAGCTTTCTTTTCACAATCAAATCCTTTTGGCGTGGTAGGCTAACCCTTGCTGCTATTCGTCGATCTCTTGTCCTTTGGAAAATTCTCCGACCCCATGGACTTGGTGGGAATTTCCCGAGACCCCGAAAGGCGTACTCGTTCGGACCCGAAACCCAGCATTTGAGGAGCCATCGAGCCTGACGATTCACAATCTGCGCCGTCCTCAGATATTCTGCGCTCGTTGTTGACTCGAAACTTATCTAAAACTTGTCGCTCCGATCAAGGCGATTGAGTCGCAACTCCTCAAGACCTGACGGACCCGTTCCGAGACTCTTGAAATCCGAAACGAGCGCTCACAATACAAACGTGGGCCGACCTTAAAATAGCAGGAAATGGCGATCAGAGTTCTAAATGCGCCTCTTCTGTAGATAGCCTTCCGACTCTCCACTATCTCGCCGAATAGCTTTCCGAGTTCATTCCCGAAACGAAAGAGTGATTTGTCTTTAAGTCAAGCAATGTTGTTTGCCGGTCTCCGCTGTTGATTCGATTCATCCTGAAATTTCGCATCGGTTCCGCTTTTCAAGCTTCCAGACGTTTCGGCTGTTCTCTTCAACTTCCTCCGATTCTTCGAGCTGTCGACCGATCCAGGGCGGTTCTCAACTTGTTACTCTTGGCAAGCAGATGTGCTCGACGCGATTAGTAACGTTGTCGTCATCGTCGCAGGCTCCGTCGTTAGCGTTGTTATGCGTGCCTATTCGTGTTCACAAACAAACCCGCGTGAAAACATTTCATTTCAATGCTTGTTCCGACGAAAGCTCGTCGATTGAGATGTCTACCTACAGATAGAGGTGAAGAGAGCACGGGGAGGCCAAATCTCGACGTCCCCGGGGTCGCCGAAAAGGAGAGGAAGTTCGCATCTGAAGTACTGAATTGCAGTCGAAATTCGAATGCTTGGATATCCAATACCCCCATCTCTGTGCCGTCGCATGGAGACATGGATGAATATTCGGAAGGCTCGCGATTCGACGCGTCGCTAGGGGAGCTGACATCGGGGACGAGCGTTTTCACCGGACTATCTAGAAATAGCCACAATGTCTTTACGCTTATGTCGGGTCCCGATTCAGTCGACGACTAGAGCATGACAGTCACGTTAAAGAGGGACGGACCTCCAAGTCAGCGTGAAATATCAGCCCGCCTCGGCATTGGAACGAGAGTCGAGTGAGTCCGGTGATCGTTAATTTTCTAGGAAAGCTCGCCGTTTTCACGCTTTCAGAAGACCCTGCATCTACCGCTGCTGCTATTCACTCTATCTGCCGGACGGACCACACAGCTAGACGGACACCGAGCGGCTATACAGAGGAGTCGGCTAAGTGGTCACTTTCGGATCATAGTCAAGAGAAGAGTCGACGACGATTAGAGCCCTCGTTGCAAGTGGAGCATCCGAAAAGATTAGCCCTCACGTGAAGAGCGAGCGCCCACTTCAAGTTCCATCTGCTCAAATTGCGTTTCACACTTTGTATCACGCCTCGACTATTCTGTAGAGAATGAAACAGCATCAAGCGCTGAGAATCAGAAACCCGATTTGAAATTGCTCGCAAACCTAGAATTAGTGACTAGTCGCTGTCGCGGAGCCTGTGTCTTGACAAGGGAATGCTTTTGACAGCTTGATGGGTTGGCGTGCAGCATAAAGGTCACTGAAAGTCTATCTCATCTCGTTGATGTCACGCCTGAAAGTGGAGTGTGGGACAAATGTTGAGCTTGAAGTTCAACTCACCGGTCACAACATCGAAGTCCGTGTGTATCTGCAGCATGGAACTCGACGAGCTCTCTATCCCTTCGTCTTCTTCGCTGGAATCCTGCTCGCCCGCAGACCTCCTGTTAATGAATAAGAGTTAAGCAAATTATATTATTGTAATCCTCGTAATCCTAATGCGTTTCGATATTCTGTGAGGGGTCTTCCCCTCATTTAGATATTGACCGAATAATTACCTAGCAAATATAATGTCATCTAAAATCGTGAAGCTGAAAACCATCGGTTTTGGTCTTTCGAAGTCGTATAACCCAATCGCTTACTTTTTATTGGTTTTCCCTGCGCCCGTATCTCTGAAGCCTTTCGCGAACGGGTTGTTGTCGATTTTCAGTTGAGTTATTTTTTCGTTTTGGTACGCAGTAACGGCGATGAACTCCGTTTCACGGAACACGAATGTTTTAAAAGGTGAGCACGGCAGCTTGCTAATGTCCCCCGTGCGAACGAGATGAAACCGGGGTTGGTACTTGTGCATTGAGTTCAATATCGTCTGGAAGAAAAATATACCAGATGTCTAACAGTTCTTTTTGTATATGAGGAAACTTTACCGAGTCGGCGATGAACGCGTACGAGCCACGAGTACGCTTATAGACTACATACTTCATGGCGAGGCTGAACTGTCCCGAGTCGATTCGAGTTGTTTTTGGTGAATGTTCAGTGACACCGGTCGTCTATATATTTTGAATCATCTCGTCTGTTTGTATTTACATCTGAGTTCCTCCATCATTTCATAGAGCGATCTTATGCTCGCGACGGGGGCACCCCACGTCGCACAGATCCAGTCGAGACCCCCGTTCCAGAGCGCTCGGACTGGTGGGAATCGTGTCGGAGCTAATCTTTTGTATCATGTTGACAGATATCCCTTGTTGTCGACAGCGATGAAGACTTCAAGCGGTCGGGCGGGCGAGCGCCGGCAGTTCCCCATCCAACAGGTCTTCACTTAGTCAGTAGGGCTTCAGTCAGGCTTTTCGGAAAGTCTCCCAGAGCAGCGAACAAGTCGAGAGCTCCGCTTCGGGGATTATATTTTCCCGCATGATGGGAGCTGCGTCTCCAAAGCGGCATCGCTTAACAATCACAGTTGTCAACATGGTCGTCGTTGATGCCGATGCTTCTGATCCGTGTACCGAGAGTGGCTGATCTTCGTTGCGGGAGCTTTGACTGACGATTATTAGCTAAGTTTCCGTCTGGCCGAATCATCTCGAATGGCGCGTCATAGACGTCTGCAGTCCCGACGGCGGCTCCGGCAGCCGTCGTAGCAGCAGCAGGGACCCGTGAGCTTGGCGTTATTAGCTTATGGTTAATGTTAAACACACATTCTCATGTCGACGGCCAACAGCAGGATTGAAGCGGTCCTCACTTGGCTCAGCACGAAGTTCTCTGCGATTCGACTGAGGGTGACGCGTCTCGCGGGACTTCTCACGCTCCCTGCGTCTCAGCCTCACGCTACGTCGATGCTATCGGATTAGAGCTCCGCTTGGTCGGGGATCCCGGTACTTTCGGAGGATTCACTCGAGTCATCGCTTAATATCTCAATAGCGATCCCCTCGAGAGTCTGAGCGTTGCTCTGAGCTTTTCCTTCGTTGAGGGCATTCTCTCCGGTGGACGTTCGCTCTCCACCGGACGTGAAGATTCACATCACCCCCTCTTGAGAGTCTTCGATTCCCGCTGACCGTAGTGGCGACGTAACGTCGCGTAATACTTGGTGTCTGCGCTGACGGAGCCGTGTGTCCAGTTGTGGGGAGCTTTTGCAACACCTCATTAACACATTCCGACTGTCTGCGATTAAGCTCTGCCCATCATTTCACCCGATCCATCCGATGATCGATGAGCGATCGATCTCTTCTCGCGAAGTCTGCTTCGTCGTCGGGGCTCACTTCAGGCTCAAAATTGAAATAATTCCACCGCTCAGCGGATTCCAGCCGAGGGGACTTCCCCCGACTGGAGTCGGAGCGTCTGATCGATCCGGATTTCCGGCAAAGCTTCCAGTCGTCGGTCGACTTCTCGACGGAGATGAATTTCGCACTGAGCTCATCAGAGGCCTTCGTTCTCACCTGGATTAGTTTGCCACTCTTATGAACGGAGGAAGCATCTGGACGACGAGCGACAATTAGTCTGAGCAGCCACCGAAACCCAGGGCTGTGCTCAAAAAGTCCACGGATCTGACGCCTGCCGCGGTAAATGCTCCAGGAGGCTCCTTGGTGCAGGCCAAGCCGCTCTCACCAGCCGAGAATGCAGGATCGTCTCTCCGGTGCCACCAGGGTCACTAGATTATCGCGCACGGCATGGTTAGATAAATCACGATTTTAGACGTTTTATAAGTAGTGAGAATAACTCAAGAACCTCGCATCACCATCTCTTGCACGTGGCTCGTGGACACTGAGTACGCCAGCAAGCGAGCGCGTCAGCGCCCGACAGGAAGATGATCCGGCTGAAATATCATTAATGGAACAATGCCCATTACTCTTTGCCTACTCGCTCCTCTAATTCCATCCGTTCATATCTTCCATTCATTCGAGCCGAACACGTCGCTCTTGCCGCTCAGAGAGGACCCGCTCCGGGTCCTGACATTTCTTGACAAATATCATCTTGCCCCGATCCGGATAATCAGGTGAGATGTCAAGAGTCATCCCTCGACCAGACCGACGTAAGAAGAGGTCTACGTCCTTCGCATTCTGATCTCCTCTGGGAAGCGGGGACCTCAGTCTTGACGAAACTCCGGACCGTTCCCTTCCTGAGGCATTTCCCATGATGAGTCTACATGAAGTTCGGAGTCAGAAAGCCTCAACGACGATGAAAAATCGGGGAAATCAATATCGAGGGGGATGCTCAGACGGGCTCCAATTCGAGGTCCAGACCTGAGCAAATATCACGCGCTGAGCGGCTAACGAATCGGAGAATGAACGGCTGTCTCGCCAGCGCTCGCTACAACTTCCGTTGCTCGTTGAGAGGCTCGAATTGGACCGGGGGCAGAACGAAAGCCTACATTCGCGTGCAGACTATCTGTCTGTGTTTCTCTCTCTTGTTCCGTTCGGCCTCGGAAATTATCGGTTGCTGTCGTCGTGATGCCCCATCCAATTTGGTCCGGGATGGGTTGGCCTGACGCTGACCGACTGGCTGGCTGGCTGCGCATGCATGTGATCAATACGCGGTCTTCGCGGGAGAAACGTGAGAAAACGCGAGAGAGAGAGCGTCCGAACGCCTAAACAGCTTCAGCCCCCTTTGTTTATTTTGGAAATTACTGCTCATTGACAGGGTGGGCTCGATCCACGAAACACCACTCAAGACTCGGTCGACCCGGCCCACTGCTGTTGTCGCAACTGTGGCTGTCGAAGCCGAAGTGCTTGATGAGCATATGCACGTCAGTGAACGTTCGAACGACCTTCCGAACGCTCGATGAGCAAACGTCTTCAACAAGTTCATCATCGTCGGAGGAGACTAGCCGTTCGAAAGCTCGAGGTCGATCCGCTGTCAATCCCTGATTGTCTCCCCCTCTTCATTCACTTCTAGAATTTACCCAAGACTTCTGAAACCCGTCTGAAATCCGTGATTTCTCGCAGATGAAACTCTCTCGAAACCGTCTCGTGTCCTGCGATATGTCGCTGTGAACAGAGGAGCATATCCTTCGACCTTTGAGCCTCAAGACTCCACCGATGCTTCCTGCATGCCGAGTCATCAGTCTACCATGAGCCTATGCCGTTAGAATTCCTCCGAGTCCGACGGAGTCGAGATGAAGAAGACATCAAGATATAAGATCGGCGAAATTCGAAGAAAGTCCGCCAGACGCCTGCCTGCCTGCATAGCATGAAGATCGCACGCTCCTCGATGAATGCGCCGATGAATGAACGAAGCATCGTGCATGAGTGTGAGCGACTGATTGGGTGTCTGACTGTACGGTGTACGCACAAAGTCTCATCATACCTGTCTGGAGTGAGAGGACAAGCTCGAAGTTACTCGGAGAGCAGATGAGATGAATTAGATGTCTGCGAAGTCAAACAAAGAGACACCACGGTCGGACGACGAAGGGAAGCTAGAGCCGAGCCGTTCGCAGAAACACCGCCGTGGACTCCGAATGACTGACTGACTGAGACGCTCTCTGTCTGTCTACTTTTTCACCGCGCTTTCTTCGCTAGAACGGAAGTCCGAGGAGCTCAAGTCAAAACACCCGCTCGGCGCATTGGGCCCCGTCGGTACTACTCATTGTTCTCGAATATCTGATCCGCTCCCATCGGAGGACTTCCACTTCCGCGTAGACGATTTTTTCTCGAAGTAATGTCGCGTTCTCCCACACGACTCCCTAAATTGATCGGGTAAGTGACGCGGCTGGTCAGTGGGACTCTCTGGTTCCAGAAGGCATAAGCGGCTACGTAAGCGGTTACGTAAGCGGTTACGTAAGCGGCAACTGTAGGCTGAGGGAAATTTTCTGTCGATGTCGGATCTGTTGCACAGCAGATTGTGACGGCGACCATCGACGCGGTCTAACGGATCCGTCACGTTTGAAACATCTGACAACGGACACCTAAACCAATTCATTAGGGGATGGAGCTTCCTTTCAACGTCACGTTCTTCGTCACATCGGGGAGCATTTCAAATGACGCGTCGATCACTTAGGTATAGAGTCGAAGGCCTTCTCGTTCGCTGCCTCCGACGTACACCCGCATGTTTTTTTTATTGTCACAATTCAGATATCGCGCTATCAAAGGAATCGGGCGGTTGGGACGGTTCGGATGTTAAGCCATGTTCGAATTCGTTCGCCTCTTCACTCATGTATGTACCTGAGGACGCTATCAGTTGACTGCTGTCAAGAACCGTCTCGGAGAGTAGACAAAACCCCGTGGATTGCGAGACGGAATCCTAGCGTGACATCGATGCTGTCCGACATACGCTGTCCTCCCGAGGAGTTTCCCCACTGATCCATGCTTGCTTTCGAATCGCTTGGCATCAGGAGAGCCCCCGCACGAGTTAGAAGGAACGCAGCTCAGAAATGTGAGCCGGAAAGTCTCCATGAAGGAGTTTCGTTGCCGCCGTCATTAGCACTGCTTGATCCAGAGATGACCCAGATCACGATCCCGCGATTGTCGCTCCTCAGACAAATTAGTCCTCTAGTGTTCCATTTCACCGATCTCTTGCCACGCGATCAGTTTCAAGAAATCTCTTCTTTGCCTCTGAAGGAGGGAGCGGTTTCCCTCGAGGTTCTGACCGAGAGCGACGCGGAAGTTTTAGGTGTTTTTGGCAATAGCTTGTGAGCCGCGGCATCAGAGTAGGTCGATGTAATCACCACGCCACAACCTGCGAGACCTTAGACGCAGCTGAGCAGGGAGTCTGCCGCTTGAAGCCTTCGGGTAGCTCGCTCGTTAGATATCGACTCAGCCAGCGCAGTGTCTGCGATGATTGACGATTGATAAAAATCTGATCAGATAAGGTCTCCTTTTTCTTCTTGTGATGGTTGTTGTGGCGACAAGGGTGGCAATGCATTCTCTACCGAGGCTAATTCTCACTCCAAACAGAGCAGTAGATATTCGTCAGCCACTCCGCCGAGTCGCTCTTTTGCCAACTTCGCGGGAAATCAGGACGGAGATAGCTACCAGATTCGAAGATGACGGACAAAAAAAACTGACTCGAACGAGATTGCTCAGCAGTTTACTGAGTACGCTCTCGAGCGCTTCAGTGGGAAGGAAACAGAGAGCGATGTCAGAGGAGGAAATCGTCGATGCAACCAAGAGGCAACTCAACGTTGGCCGTACAATGTGTACCTTCTTACGACTAAAAAGAGTTTAGAGACTGCAGACTGCTGCGGGCTCATTTATACTGTTCTGATACTCACGAAACCGTGTTTGTCCGAGATGTTGTTGGTGAGTTTGAGTTTATGGAAAGAGACCACTTTCTGCATCCACTGCTCTCCTGTCGCCGGTGAATCGGGGTGAATGTACATTCGTTTCGGCATCTCGGGATCGGCTTTGCCTGCGACGACCCATCGACGATTTTGGAATTTGTAACGACAATCATCGGCCGCGACGATGTCCATCAGCATCACGTACTTGGCTTTCGGGTTCAGTCCAGCCAGACGCACTTTGAAGGGCGGGAACATGCGTCTGAAATTAATTGGACAATTTATTCGTTTTTTATTACTGATACCTCCCAATCGGTGATACGTTCGGGAATAGATTACAGAACTCAAGTTCCGACCCGGACGAGCTGAAAAGTTCCGTAGGAGATTTTTCCTACGATCGTCTTCTCCGCTCGTATGCTTAGTAAGGCCGCCGGCGTTACGACGCGACGCTGTCATGGAGTGAATAAGTTGCTTTTGGACAAAGCCGAAACCATTAGAAGATCAGCTCGTCAGCCGGCGATGATGCTGAGAATCACCGCCAAAGATCCGATCGAGGAGGAGAGAAACAGAGAAAATCCATTTGTATTATTATTTCGAAGACGAACGAAAAGCGAATCAGAGTAAAGAAGACCACGCCTTCGCTCGCGCCCAGCGGATCGAGTCGACGCCGACAACAAACGCGGCTTGCCAAGCAACAAAAAAGCACGGCAGGCGTTGTACGACGACGCGTGACTTTTCACAAGAGCAAGTCGCAAAGAAAAAAATATAAATAGAACATGGAGCCGAGAAGTGAAATCGATGAATGCAAGGATAAATAGATGACTGTCTGACTTCATAGAGGAAGAGAAGCCGTGAGTGAAAGGGAGCTGCGTCTCGCCAAATTATCGCGACCAAGCCGAAGTTTAGGCGTTTCTCACACGGTGCTCACGCTTATTCAAGGCTGGCGAATACTTCAGCCACTTTGGCAAAAGAATTTTCGGAAAGCGAGCTACGGACGGCCCCCGCCTTCGTGTGGAAAACCCTTCGGTTGACAGTCTGGATGGCAACGTTTACGTCGACTCAAGTAGACATGCAAGGCTCCTCGAAGCGGCGCGATCATTTCCGAGCTGCCATAAACGATCTGCCGGAGTGATGCCCGATCTCGATATCATGTCGTCGCAACGTCTCCGAATTCGGGAGGAGGGGACGGGTATTGCACAGGGAGAGGGAATCATCAATGAATGGGAGACATTGTCTATTTCTCGGAATCTCGTGATCCTGCTCGGAAATCGCCCCACAGCCCGCGGCGCGAGGTAAGTACGGCGACGGCGGCATACCGGAATCACTCCAAGGCATAGGTTTACCGACCCACTCGACCGGGGAAATGAGCCACGATTTGTTTCAGAGCGACCCTTCACGAACTCCTACCGTCTGTACATAGACTGTCTAGTCGTGTCACAACAGCTGCAAGTGTCAAAAATCGTCGATCATGATTGCTCGACACGGACAGGCACATGACAACTGAGTTATCAGCTTGTTCGCCGTCGTCGTCGATTTCCAGGTCGTCCTCCAGCCGCGAGCGAACTCGTTCCGCGACTCATCTCCGAGGAAGTCGTTCCTCATTTTCACGAGTGACGCGGCCATGCAAGCCTACAGGTCACCTGCGCTAGCGCATCCATTTATCAAGGAAGACGCACAGCAGACCACCAGTAGATTAACATCCACCGGGAAGTGGCTATTCGACACTCTGTCAGCTGTGACAGGCAGGGGAATGGATTCCTGCTAATCCGGGTGACACTTCGTTTCGCAGCGCCGTAGTCTCACCGACGAGTAACACTTGCGGATTGTAGCTGAATT